TTTTTTTTTTTTTTTTTTTTTTTTTTTTTTTTTTTTTTTTTTTCCCTTCCGGCATGAGTTACAAATGTCAAACATTCTAGATAAGCACGGTACTTTTGAGAGAGAGATAAGCAATGGTATAAGGGGTTTTAGGTAGATAGAGAAAGTGAGAAAATTTTATGAGTGTGTAATTCTGAAATTATTGGTGAAAAACCAGTCTTTATCATAACTTAACCATATTATTACAGGGAAGAGACTGGAGAGACAGAGAACAAGAAAGGGGTAATTAAGAGATGGATATTTTCACCTGTTTATTGTGTCTTGTTCTCATCCTTTGTATCTCAATTCAAGCCTTCAATTCACTTGCAAATCCCAGAAGCAGAAAGCAACTTCCACCTGGTCCAAAACCTCTTCCCATCATAGGAAACTTCTTGGAGTTTGGTGACAAACCCCACAAGTCCTCAGCCAGGCTTTCCAAGTCTTATGGTCCGCTTATCAGTCTTAAACTCGGCCGAGTAACGACAATTGTCGTTTCCTCACCGATCATGGCTAAGGAAGTCCTACAAGTACATGGCCAGTTCTTCTCCAACCGACCAATCTTAGACTCTGCCCGCGCCTCCAATCACGTCCATCTCAGCATAATTTCCTTACCCGTCTCAACTTTATGGAGAGAGCTTCGAAAAATATGCAACGTCCACTTGCTTGCCGCTAGGGTTCTTAATGCCAACATGAATCTGAGGCACAACAAGGTAGAAGAGCTCCTATGTGACGTCCGTAAAAGCGCAGAGGCCGGTGAGGCTGTGGAGATCGGGAAAGCTGCTTTCAGAGCCTCTCTAAATCTCTTGTCCACCACTTTTTTCTCAATGGAGTTAGCTGATACGAATTCTAACACGGTACGAGAATTCAAGGAGACCGTACGTGGTTTTATTGACGAGTTGGGAAAGCCGAACTTGGCCGACTTTTTCCCTTTTCTTAGGAAGATTGACCCCCAAGGCATCAGGAGGCGCACCGATTTTCACTTCCGAAAAATGCTGGACTTGTTCGATTGCATCATCAACGAAAGGTTGCAACTCAGGGAAGTAAGTGGTTCTGTGAAAGATAATGATATATTGGACACTCTTATCGACATGATGGTGATCGGTGAAGAGAAGAGTGCACATGATCAGATAGACAAAACCATAATTGAACATTTGTTACTGGTAAGCGAGCTCTTTTGCCACTATAATACATAAGGTTAAAATAACGGGATTCTAGTAATTGTTTCTTGGCACGAAAAAAGCAACGTAGAGAATGAGATGTTGTTCGGCGTAATGCAATTTCCAACCAAATCCTAAATTCATAGCTAAAATAACGGGATTCTAGTACTATATAGGCTGTCTTGTTCTTGAATTTACTTTTAGCATGTTTCTTTTGATCTTTTTGATTGTTTGATCCTAACTTTGGAATGTTTGAAATAGGATATATTTGCGGCCGGCACTGAAACAACTTCATCCACATTGGAGTGGTCAATGGCTGAGCTACTAAAAGCCCCAGAGATCTTGTCAAGAGCCCAAGCAGAGCTAAAGCAAGTTATTGGCAAAGGAAACCAAGTGAAAGAATCAGACATAACTAGGCTTCCTTACTTGCAAGCCGTTGTCAAAGAAACCCTCCGCTTGCACCCTGCAGCCCCATTAATGGTTCCTCGCAAAGCTGAAAATGACGTTGAAGTCTGCGGGTATACCATCCCGAAGGATTCTCAACTGCTGGTCAATGTATGGGCCATGGGGAGAGACCCCAACATCTGGGAAAATCCCCACAAGTTTATGCCGGAGAGATTCTTGAAATTGAACATAGATGTTTTAGGCCACGATTTTGAGCTCATTCCCTTTGGTGCCGGGCGGAGAATATGTCCCGGGTTGCCATTGGCAACGCGAATGTTGCACTTGATGTTGGGTTCTTTGTGTTAGACAATATAATAGAAAATACAAAGAAGAACAGGAAATAAAGGAATAACAAAATAATGAAAATTGTTACAACCCGAAATCAACCTTTCTATGGAATTCGGAAAACGGAATTGTATGAATGTCGAGGCACGTGAACCACGTTGTCCTTAAAACAGATTCGTCCCCTCCGGCGTGTGCTTGAGGTTACGTTGGACGTCCGTCTCCCAGGATACAACGACAACGACGGCAGCTCGATGCACTTTCGAAACCGTCCGGCGAACTAGAACTTGATCTTTCCTCTATCACCAAAACCGAACTACAAGAACTACTCAAGAAAATCCGGAACAAACCAAGAGAGAGAGAGAACCAAAAAGGAGCAGAGAATTGTGAGGAAGTGTGTGCCTATCATGTGGAGTTTTGGCCTTTATATAGGCTCCAAAATCTGGGGGTTACACCAAGACATTATGGTGTAATAACCCAGATTTATTCCCGGAATAAGGGTGATTAAAACCAGCCAAAACGTTTTTCGATTTCTCATGGTGAATCTAGCCACATTCTGGCTAGTAATTCAGCTTTTGATGATGGAAAACCAAAGCCATGAAAGCTTGATTCGGTTTTGCCTCCATTGATCACCATTAAGGTCTCATTATGGTCTTTAACCATCATTGTTTTATGCCAAACGGAAGCTGGAAGGTCTTGGCTAGAGCAAAAATAAAATCGCAAAAGTGAGCTTGCGCGGAGCGGGTTTTTCAGTCCGGCATTCGTGTCCGCACACATTAGGCCCCAAACCCGCCGGGCCCGTGTGTCCGGCATTCGTGTCCGCACACATTGTCCCAAATTACTTAGTTATTCCTCTTTTCCTGTTAAAATCTCGAGGGAAAAATGCATGAGAGGACCAGGTGGTATATGTTAATTTTATAATCTTATATGTTAGGACATGTCTAAGAAAGAAGTCGTTGATGATGCTATATATCTCATAGCCCTAATAGTTGATCTAGCAACCATGGCAATGCGGATGTTGTTCTTGATGTTGAGTTCTCGGATTCACTCCGATTGGAAGTTGCAAGTTTCACCGGCCGGAGACAATGAACATGGCGCACAAGTTTGGCCTCACCTTACAAATGTCTCTCAGTCTTTCTGATGTCTTTGTAGGCCACTTGCATAACACAGTACCTTCTAATACGAACCCCGCCAACAATGTGATGAAACTCGTAGCCAAATATGGGATACGATCCAAAATCTTCAAGAATTGATGGAAACCGCGACCCGTTGCTTAGCGAAGCAAGAACCTTGGTATGGTGAAGACGCCACAAACGAGTATGGAAAATCCATTTGATAAGTCAAGAGTGAACGCCACAAGAAAAACCTTGATAAGTTCGGAATAGTTCTTCAAGAACTAAGAAGAATATCTCACAAAGTGAATAAACATCAAAACTTTCATTAATTCTGAATTTCAGCCTTAAATAGTTGAAAATAACATGATGAATTTAAAAATCATAAAATTCCTATTCTATCCTTAATGAGATAGAAACCTAAAATAAGATAAACCCTAAAAACAAGATAAAATCCGCCTAAAGATAACTCCTAGGGAAGGACTTCAAATTTGAGTCTAATTCCTTCCTTTTAAAACGCCTAACAAAACTTATCCTAGGAAAGGAATCCTAATTTGAATCCAATTCCTTCCTTAAATCGCATAACATGGAATTTAAATGTTTAAAACTAAAATTTGTCTTGATCCCTTGCTGGAATGTGCGCCTAAGTTCTTGAAAGTTGCTGGAATGCGCCTAAGCTTTTGAAAGTTGTTGGAATGTACGCCTAATCCTCCTTGAACTTCTCCTTGGGCGTGTAACATGGAATGCCATGCAAGTTGGCCATGCAATGGCTCAATGGATGTGTAAGACTAGTTGGATCTCTTCCAGATCGACTTTGATGAGTAATGCTTGCATCCCGGATGTTCACATCACCTTTTTCATTCATCAATGTGAAGTCTAAAATTAGATATTGAAAATGTTGTAAGGTGAAGAGAGGTCATAATTTCTTTCCCTGGCCTGGTTTGGTTTTATTGGAGCTCAGTGTTTCTATTTCCAAAGTGTCAACCTGTTGGCTATCTGTAACAATCGCACATCAAACGTGAATAGAACGAGGTGATCCAAATTTAAAGTCTACCCAAGTTGTTAAGCCTATGTCATTATTTGTGGTTGTGAAGGCCAGCATTCACGCGGTCCCTATCCTAATTACAAGTCAACTATAAACGATTGTAAAACAAGATGGCGACATTACATTTATCAACGATGGAAAAATTGAGAAAATAACATACATTATACGGACATCAAAACAAAAATAAAACTACGCGAACTAAAAACAATTATAACTTGAATAATAGACTATTAATCACACGAAAATAGAAAAAAGAGTTGGTAAAAATGTTAAACACAACTAAAAAAAACAAGTGATTCATAACTGGCTTATGTAAGATGAAGGCAATGGTTAAGCGATAGACAAATATACCAATCAAAAAGCGACAAAATAAGAAAGAGAGAGAGAGATGGGAACTTCAACAAAGAGAGTAATTTTATCGGAACATCTTCGTTGCAGAGAATCAGAAGCTTCGGCTCATTCAAAGTAGGAAGATTTCTTACTTTGTACAATCTCAAATTTGGTGAAATATTAAGGGTTCGTTTGGTAAAGGGGTTCAAACTCGAGTGGTTTGAACTTTTTGGATTTGAACCATGTATGAGGTTCTGTAAGGTTTGAACATGTGGTTTAAACTTTTACTTGGGTGTGTGTAAAAGAATGGGTAAGAACCATAAGGGTTCAAATAGACAAAACCCAAGGGGGTTCTCACTTTTAGGATTGAGAGTGAGTTTAAATGTTTGATCGGAGTTTTAACCCAAACCTGTTTTTTGAAGCCCGATTGAAGGTTCTATTCAACCCGAACCCGTGTGTTTAAACCCTAGAACCCCTTACCAAATGAGCATTAAGATTTTGATAGATTCATAGTCATTAGAGTCCCATATAGAAGTAGCTTATACTAAGTAGACGTGACCCTTAAAAGATTTAAAAGTTGACTTGATTGTGTGGTTATCTTCTTAAATCTTATGCTAGATTTTCAAACTAACCTTCTAGTTGTTCATATTTCAGACACTCATTTTTAATCACACATACTTCGTACGATTATTCCCAATTATCAAGAAGTGTAAGAAACGCCATACAATTTCAAGTCAAAAAAGAGGGCTGAAGGTGACGGCGAGAGAGGCATTGAAATTGTTCCCTCGTGTTAAATTAATAAGCATCAAATCTGAATAGGAAACAGCTTGTTTGTGATGTGTAAGTAATCCCACATTGGAAAAACACAGAATAGGAGGATCTGGAAGGTGTATAAAACCAAAGGGCCATGCATTATGTTACATACTTACCTGGGCGGGGTCAATGGGCGATCAATAAGGCCCATGGCCTAGCTTTGCGACTTCCATTGCACTTGGGAAGTGTGCCAAGCTAAGGTCTACCCAAAGTGGTGGAGCCTGCGTCATAATTTGTGGCAGTGGGGGCCTGCGTTCGCGCGGCCCCTGTACCAATTTCTAGTTTAAATGTCGTTTTTCTGTATCATCAAATGTAAAATCCTCATTTTTGTTGTTGCTAACAAGTAAACGACAGTAACTATTCCTTTAAGTTTGTGCCAAAAGAGAAGAGACTTCGATTCGTTTTTTTTGTCTTTTCTGAAAAAAAAGAAGCTACTATTATTTTGGTATGAGTTAAAAGTTTGATGTCGTCAAAGCCAATAATGACACGTTACTCGTCGTTTAGAAGTTGAAAAACGACAGAATTGATTACGAAACAACATTAAATCAACAGACCAATACTTAAATAAGCATAAATCAACAAACCAATACTTGAATAAGCATAAGCATTGTTAGTCTTTGAACTTGAAATTTAGGCATAATTTATCCTGGATTTTTTTTTTGGGTATTATTAGTTCATGATATTATAATTGACAAAAATATTTCGAAGTTTTTTGCCAAATCAGCCAAATTAATGAAAAATCAATTACTACCCTAAAATAATGACTAACACAATCTGGTTTTTGTAATGACTGAGAAAATTTCAGACCTTAAATAATACAATTCATGTATTTTTAAGCCAAGGATTTTCTTAGAAAATATTATGTTATATTGTGAATTGAGGATTTATGGAATTAATATATGTATTCCTAAATTCTATAGCAAATTTCATGTTAAGTTCATGTTTCGATCAAGTAAATTCGATCGATAAATTCTCGCCGTATTTTAAGGCGGAATAATTTTCAGTACAAGTATAGTTTGAGAATCTTAATTTCAAGAATCTCCAAGCATAGCACGATGTTAGCGGCGTATAAAAAAAAATGCACTGACATTTTAAAAGAAGAAAAAAAAATCCTTAATTGCCAGACAGTTAGGTTAAAGTCGCAAGATAAATACCTATAGTAGATGGGTACAATATGAGCTCGGGAGTTGACACTGTCAGAAACGTCATTCTCGGGATAGAATGCAGAAAAGTAAAATTTAGAATTTGTTCAGTCTAAAATTAATTTCAAGACTTGAAACAGGTTGAAATATTACGCGAGTAAGAATATAAAACAATATTGAATTATTCAGAAATTAATATTGGACTGTAAGTAGTAGATTAACTTACGTGAGCTAAACTAATTACCTCTAATAAGTACAAATTTAATCTGTTTAGAGGAAATAATTGAGGATAAGATCAGGCACGTAATCTTGCCTTAATCAGAC